ATTAGGAAGAAAAGCAAGTGAGGCTGCAAAAAACATCTGTAGTGCTCTTGGTCAAGATGCAGTTAGCGCCAGAAAATGCCAGCGTTGGTTTGAGAAATTTCGCAAGGGAAATTTTTCGTTAGATGACAAGAGTGGTCGAGGCCGTGTGTCCAATTTTGATCAAGAAGCTCCTCAAGCTCTTTTGGTGCAAAATCCTCAAATTACCCAACAAGAGCTTGCGACAACTTTAAATTGTTCACAAAAAACAATTTCCAATCAATTGCGTGCACTTGGCAAAGTCCAAAAGTTTGGAAAATGGGTTCCTCATGAGTTGACCGACAACAACCGTAAGTAATCAAAGAGTCACGATTTACAGTTCGCTCCTCTCTAGTCAAAACTGTTTGCCGTTTTTAGAGCAAATTGTTACCGGAGATGAAGAATGGGTGCTGTATGTTAATTTGAAAAGGCGGCCTCAATGGTTGGACAAAAATGAGGCTCCGCAGCCCATGCCAAAACCTGACTTGCATGCGAAAAAAGTGATGATGTGTGTTTGGTGGAATTTTAAAGGAATTCTTCATTATGAACTTTTACCATCTAATCAAACCATTACAAGTGCAGTGTATAGTGCCCAATTGGAAAGGTTAGCCCAAGCTTTAAGAGAAGAAGAACCCGCGCTGATTAATCGGAAGGGCGTAATTCTTCACCACGATAACGCACGACCGCATACTGCAAGAATCATTGCTGAAAAACTGCGCCAGTTGGAATGGGAAGTTCTCCCTCAACCTGCATATTCTCCTGATATTGCCCCTTCCGATTACCATTTGTTTCGTTCTTTGCAAAACTTTCTTCTTGGAAAAAAATTTAATAATGAAGAATGCCTCAAAAATGCATTGACCGAATTTTTTGCATCAAAATCACAAGAATTTTACAACAGAGGGATTAAAATGCTTCCTGAGCGTTGGGCACAAGTAGTAGAAAACAACGGCAACTATATTGTTGATTAAATTTTGTTGTATTGTTTAAATAAATTCGATTTAAAAAAGTATTAGAAAACGACATTAATTATTACTAGATCTATATAAGAGATAAGTTACTCATCTAACAGAGTAAGAAATCTATTAACTATGTCCAACACTGAAGAATCAAGAGAGAGTTGCACACCTCTATTATTTGAAATCATAGGAGTAATATCAAAATGAAAAGCTACAGGAGTTTCAAGTGGTGACTTTGGGAAGTGGGCTTGGGTAATACAGGGAACTGCTTATTTCTGTCAGTAATTGTTAGTATGATTTATTAATTACTAGAGGCCCGACGCACAACGATTCATGAAAGAATTGGACTTCCTTCCCTTGGCTGCCAGCAGCATCGCCTTTGCTCTGGCCTGGAGCTGCCTTTCCACCTTCCCACGCTACCCAGAGGCCTGGAATAACTGCAGCAGCACCATGGTGACAACACAAGTGTCCCATTCCTGGCTGCTCAGTGCCTGCGCATGCATCTTTGGTGGGTTAATTTGCATACTCCTGATTGGCTGGTTGGTGGCATGAAGGTATGGTCAATTTGCATATTTCTTTTATTAGCGTAATGAGTATGCATTTTTTTCTTTTTCTTTTTTTTATTAAATTAGTATCTGTGTACATATTTTACCATTGCCCCCCCTTCCCATATAAACCCACCCTCCCCAGAATTTTGTGTCCATTGGTTGTACTTATATGCATGTATACAAGTCCTTCGGTTAATCTCTTACCTTCCTCCAGCTGAGTATGTATTCAGTTTGATAAAAATTAAAAATATATATTTAAAAAAATGCCCTTCAAAAAATAATTTCTACCAGCCATATTTGCCTATTTTTTCATATCCTCACTGACACTGCAAATGATAAATCTCAATTTGATAGAAAAATGTTTTAATTTGAACTTATCTATGAGACTAAGCATCTTTTCATGTTTATTAACTATTTTGCACATTTTCTATGAAAAAGTCTTTTGTGTCTTTGACCACTTTCTGTATTTTTCTTTTCTTATTAACTTACATGTTTTATATGTGATGAATATTAACTTAGATTTGCTATATGTATTGCAACTATAATGCTTTGTTTCAGTTTGACATTTAACTTAAAACTTTATTTATGGTATCTTTCGCTGAACAGAACACTTAAATTACTATGTGGTCAATTCTGTTTAGATTTTTTTCCCTTTTGGAAGTAAAACATTCATCTTATTCTAGTAACGGCACAGATATGTGACATTAAATTGAAAATGTTTTTGGATCAATCTGCTGATTTATGGGCATGATTCCAAATAGAGTATATTTGAGCCACTTGCTATTTCCTTTAAGTTACAGGATAGTAGTTTTTATTTTTATTTTTTTATTTTATTTTATTTTTTTTTTAAATATATTTTATTGATTTTTCACAGAGATGAAGAGAGAGGGATAGAAAGTTAGAAACATCGATGAGAGAGAATCATCGATCAGCTGCTCTTCGCACACCCCCTACTGGGGAATGTGCCCGCAACCAAGATACATGCCCTGCCCGAATCGAACCCGGGACCTTGTCAGTCCGCAGGAGCCGACGCTCTATCCACTGAGCCAAACCGCGGTCCGGCAGATAGTAAAGTTTTGTACATTTTTAACTATTTCATTATTTTAGAATATATTAAAAAAAAAAAAAAAAAGCAACCATACTTTAAATTTAATTCAAAATTATTTTCCTTGGTTAAAAAACAAAAAAATAAAACATAAATTAGTCTTAGTAAAAAATGTTTCGTTTCTACATATAAGTTGTACACTTAAAAGATAAGCACTGTACCAATTTGATTTTGGCCTTTGAGTAAATTATTGTTCCATTGAGTACTTTTAAAGCTTTTACATTTTTATGCATAGGACAAATTGTATATGGCACTTAACACAAGATTCACGCCATCATGGCAAATCATTTATGCATCTAAATGTCAATTTGGATCGACAGAAAAAAAGATAAATTTTCAATTAAAATAGAAAACTAGCCCTAGCCAGTTTGGCTCAGTGGTTGGAGTGTTGGCCTGGAGACTGAAGGGTCCTGTGTTTGATTCCAGTCAAGGGCACGCACCTTGGTTGCACACTCAATGCCCGGCCTGATTCAGGGCCACCACTTGATGTATCTCTCTCATATTGATGCTTCTCTTTCTCTGTCTCTCTCCCTCCCTTCTACTCTGTCTAAAAATCAATGGCAAAAATATCCTTGTGTGAGGATTAACAAAAACAAAACAAAAAGATAAAAACTAAAACTTCATTGTTAACTTAAAATATGTCTAAAGCTCTAACCAACTGAGCCACCCATGGCTAGAAATTACCATTTCTGAAGGGAATTTTTTAATATATTTTTTTAACTTTTATCAAAGTGAATACATACTCATAATTTAATAGATCATATAGTGCTAAAAATTAATAACAGAAATAAGCAGTTCCCTGTATTACCCAAACCCACTTCCCAAAGTCATCACTTGTAACTCCTGTAAAATCTTAAAAGAAAGAAAATCAGTTAATAAATTAAGTACTTGTGTTTTTAAAGCACAAATACTTACCCAAGCATTCCTGACTCTTTTGTCTTTATGATGTAAAGGAACATTAATAATGTATGAAACATATTATTTCGGCCCTGGAACGAAGACAAAAAAGACAGCAAGATTTAAAATAAAAGCAAAAGATTCAGCCTGATAGGTAAATGCAGATCCTATCAATTCACATTCTACAAACTCAGAATTTCATGTAATTCCATGTATTTTATTCACTCATTAAAGACTGCCTGCTTTGGGCTGGGAAGTGGGAATACTGCAGTGAATAAGACAGAGAGGATCCATTAAATCAAGGAGCTTAAAGTCTAGTAAAAGGCAGACAGAAAATTCAGAATTACAAAAAGTGTGATGAATGTTCTGATAGGGAGGAGAAAGATGCCAGGAGAACACATGTGGGCCTGACCCAGGTGAACCAGGAAATGCCTCTTGAGGAAGAGATTTTTAAGTTGAGACCTGAAAGATGAGCAGAAAGTAAACAGACTGGGATGTTTCTACACATGGAAAGTAGCATTTACAACGGCCTGGAATGGAGCTATTGTTAGGCTGGTGCCCCTACATCCTATACACACAAATGCTCTATCTAAAAATTAGCAGCAGCCGAAACCAGTTTGGCTCAGTGGATAGAGTGTCAGCCTGCGGACTGAAGGGTCCCGGGTTTGATTCTGGTCTGGGGCATGTATCTTGATTGTGGGCACATCCCCATTGGGGGGTGTGCAGGAAGCTGATCGATGTTTCTCATCGATGTTTCTAATTCTCTATCCCTCTCCCTTCCTCTCTGTAAAAAAATCAATATTTTTAAAAATTAACAGCATAAACAAAAGTATGAGGATTAAAAATTTTTTAATCATACTTCAATTATGTTAATGACAATATAAGGTTAAACATAAATTTTATCTACAAGTGACTACATGCCAACATTTTGCTAGCCCTAAAATCAAGCAATGATATGTAATTTCTGGTCTTGTCTTTTTACTCAAGAATCTAAGGATAAATAATTTTTAAAACAGCGTTTTAAAAAAAATATTTCAGCCGAAACCGGTTTGGCTCAGCCGTAGAGCGTCGGTCTGCGGACTGAAAGGTCCCAGGTTCGATTCCGGTCAAGGGCATGTACCTTGGTTGCGGGCAAGTCCCCGGTGGGGGGTGTGCAGGAAGCAGCTGGTCGATGTTTCTCTCTCATCGACGTTTCTAGCTCTCTCTCCCCCTTCCTCTCTGTAAAAAAATCAATAAAATATATTAAAAAAAAATATTTCAAAGGAAGTTCAAGGGCCCAAAATATTTATACTTTTAGAAAGTTGAAATATTAAATTTGAAAAATGAAATTAATATTCTTCCTTGGGAATCTGATGGAGAACACATTTTATAATTACAGTCAATGTAAAAATTTCTTAGTGAAGGCACTCATAAAAATAATTGCAACAGTCATCAAAAGAACTGATGTTTACAATCAAAACTAAAATACCTGGGTAATGCTTGCTTCAGAAGCACATGTACCAAGATTAAAACGATTCAGGGAAGACTAGCATGGACCCTGCACACGGTAACATACAAATTGATGAAGTGTTCCATATTAAAAACAAACAAAACCCTCGACAGAAGTGTAAATTAGTACAATTCCTTTTTTTATAAAGTAGTTTGATATCTATTTTAAAATCCTTGAAAATATTCTATAACCTAGAATTTTACTTTTGGACTCTGAGCTAAAGAAATTACCCAAAGTGCAGATAACTATACATATAAAGATGAATATTCAGCCATATTTATGATAATTAAGAATTAGAGCACAGTCAGTGTGGCTCAGTGGTTGAGCGTCAACCATGAACCAAAAAGTGACGGGATCGCCGAAACCGGTTAGGCTCAGTGGTAGAGCATCAGTCTGCGGACTGAAAGGTCCCGGGTTCGATTCCGGTCAAGGGCATGTACCTTGGTTGCGGGCATATCCCCGGTAGGGGGTGTGCAAGAGGCAGCTGGTTGATGTTTCTCTCTCATTGACGTTTCTAGCTCTCTATCTCTCTCCCTTCCTCCTCTCTGTAAAATATCAATAAGATATATTAAAAAAAAAAAAAAAAAAAAAAAAAGGTGACGGGATCAATTCCAGGTCAGGGCACATGCCTGGGTTGTGGACTCAGTCCCTAGTAGGGGCGTGTAGAAAGCAGCTGATCAATGATTCTCTCTCATCATTGATGTTTCTCTCTCCCTATTCCTTCCTCCCTGAAATCAATAAAAATATATTAAGTTAAATAAATAAATAAAAGTGAAAATTATTTTTTTAAGTATTTTAATGAAAATTTTTAATGGTATGAAAATTATAAACGTAATTTTTAGAATCATTTACATAAATGATTTCAACCCATAAAAAAGAAGAGCAAGCCTTGGCTGATATTCTCAGTTGTTAGAACACTGGTCCAAGGATTAAGGGCTGAGGATTTGTACTAATTTACTGTTCTGTCGAGGGTTTTGTTTGTTTTTAATATGGAACACTTCCTACTCAACGGCAAGTACCTGGGTTGCAAGCTCCATCCTGGGCCCTAATCGGGGCACAGGCAGGAGGCAACCAACCAATGTGTCTCTCTCACATTGATGTTTCTCTTTCCCTCCCTCCTTTCCAGTCTCTTTGAAAAAATCAATGGAAAAAATATCCTCGGGTGAGGATTAACAAAGAACAAGTACAAAGAAAGAGCAAAATGAAATTTACTGAAAACAATACACCAAAATGTTAACAGTTGCCTATAAGTAATAAAATGAGTGATTTTTTTCTTTATACTTTTCTCTAGTAAACATATATTTTATAGTTAACAATGGGTTGATGCAAGAAACACATTTTCCCTAATTTAAAAAGTTTACCTATTCCATAAACAAGAGATTCTAATTTTAAAAACATCATCAAAGCAAGTCATCTGTGACATTATATAATAGCAGCTTCTACATATAGAAGTACCTTTGGAAGATTGTAGACATGACGCTGGTAGATTAGCTCATAATGGGGAGGGTTGATAGCACTCTGGTAAATGCAAAAGACATTCTCATTTGTCACATCTGTAAAGGAAATATGCTACATGAAAAACAAACAAAATCACCAGATGCATTTCATGTAAAAAGTTCAACTCATTCTTTTAGGAGAGGCTTTTACCTGGTTTATTTGGTGTCTGAACAAAATGCTGAGAAGTAAATGTTTTTCCGTCAGGGTATTTAGGATGTGGAGGTAATCTGGAATCAAGGTAGGTGCAAAACACATGCATAATGATCTAAAAATGAGAAAACAATTTTTCAAAATCAGCATGAAAATCTGTCATAGATGGAGCCTGTAAAAACATCTGTGTTCTTTTCCTTCCTGGCTGCTTGATGATCAGTCTTCATCATAAATGACACAGTAACTGTCTGGACCAGGAAGTTCATGACTAACAGACTGCTTCAGAGGAAGCAAATGGTCATTGACGTCCTTCACCCTGGGAAGGCAACAGTACCCCAAACAGAAATTCGGGAAAAACTAGCCAAAATGTATAAGACCACGCTAGATTAGTAATATTTAAAATTAATATTAAGAAGGATTTGGAAACTAAAGTAGAAATAAAAAATTAAAATTGTACCAGCATCTTAACCCAACAAGTGTTACTATTTTGGTCTATTTTTTCCTTCCCTTTACTTAGGTTGTACTATTTTTTAATTTTTGTGTTTGGATTCAGAACCCACTTTGGTGGTGGCAAGACAACTGGCTTTGGCATGATTTATGTATGATTCCTTGGATTATGCAAAAAAAAAAAACCAAAACAAAACAACAAACCCAAACACAGACTTGTAAGACATGGCCTACATGAGAAGACCTCTAGAAAACAGAAAGGAACACAAGAACAGAATAAAGACAGGGGGACTGCGAAGGCCAATGTTGGTGCTGACAAAAAGAAGTAAAGATTCTGCCGAGATCGGTTTGGCTCAATGGATAGAGCGTCGGCTTGGGGACTGAAGGGTCCCGGGTTCGATTCCGGTCAAGGGCATGTACCTTGGTTGCGGGCATATCCCCAGTAGGGGGTGTGCAAGAGGCAGCTGATCGACTCTCTCTCATCGATGTTTCTAACTATCTCTCCCTTCCTCTCTGTACAAAATCAATAAAATATATTAAAAAAAAAAAGTAAAGATTCTTCAGTGACTTTATCTGTGGTGAATGTGCAGATTTTTTATGAGAGAATTAATAAGCTAAACTTTTATGTGTAAAAAAAAAAAAATCTGTGTTTTTCCCTAAAGAGAGAATTAGCAAAAATGCTTTCAAGTGGTTTTAAGATGAAATCTGTTAAATGAAAAGATAAAAGACATTCCTAATTTTCTGTTATGTAGATATTTCACACCTATATAGCTAGTGAGCAGCAAAACCAAGATAAAATACATATCTATTCAATTCTTAATTTGAATATCAGCATTTAAAACATAATTTTCACATAAAGCCACTATTAAAAAATAACATGATTTTGAAAAACTCTTAAATGACCCAAATTTTTATAATCTTTGATCTACAAATCTAATTCTACTAGGAATCTTTCTTTTTTTTAAAAAAAATTATTTTTGTTTTTATTGATTTCAAAGAAGGAAGAGGGAGAGTTAGAAACATTAATGATGAGTGAGAATCATTGATCAGCTACCTCCTACACACCCCTACTGGGGATCAAGCCCACAACCCGACATGTGCCCTTGACCAGAATTGAATCCAGCACCCTTCAACCCACAGGCTGAAGCTCTAGCCACTGAGCCGAAGCAGCTAGGGCAAGGAATCTTTCTTAAAGTGGTAATTTCAAATGATATTCCTTGCAATATTATTTAAGATAGAAAAACAATTCCTTCCTTTATCACCTCTCTCAAATGTGTAAGTCTAATATTGGAGAATAGTTAAATGACAGTGTGTAATAATGAAAAACCTACTTAAATATTGCAAAAGTGAAAAAAAACAAGAAATCTCATTTTATATACGTGATTACAACTGTGATTAAAAAACAACAACAACATCAAACATTAAAAAATATTACAAGCTAAGTAAAGGGAAAAAAGTAGACCAAAATAGTAACACTTGTTGGGTTAAGATGCTGGTACAATTTTAATTTTTTATTTCTACTTTAGTTTCCAAATTCTTTTTAATATTGATAATGGGAAAATAAAAACACATAAAGCCAGTAACAAAACTGAAAAAAGGCCCTGGCGGAGGAGTTCATTAAAGCATCATCCTGATATGCCAAGGTTGCGGGTTTGATCCCCAGTCAGGGCACATGTAAGAAGCAACCAATAAATGCATAAATAAGTAGAACAACAAATCGGTATTTCTCTCTCTCTCCAAAAGCAATAAAAAAAACAAAAACAAACAAACAAAAAAAAACACTGGAAAACAACGAAAAATAAAACTGCAGACTTACAGCAGAATCAGTGGGCAGGTCTGTATCCCACTTGCGTCCTTTGAAGTCTCCACCTCTATTCCATCGAAATGAGCTCATACAGCCTCCCTGAGAAAGTTCTGTAGCAACAAAGGTGAAATTTAAAAAGCTAAGGCTATGCAAAAATGAGGGAAAAACGGCTAAGGGGTTATAATAAGAGAAGCATATCATCTTAAAAACCTGATTAAAAGATCCATAACATAAATACAAAATATAAAAGATTAACTTAAATACCAGAAGAATTACATAAATCCAAAATGTGAGATAAGACTAATATTCTGGATTCTTAAAGTCAATGTCATGTAAGTAAAAGGTGGCAAGACTGTTAGAGACAACAAAAGAAGATTAAACAATACATTTAATGTGTGCACCTACACTTTATTCCTGGTTAGGAAAAAAAAAAAAGGGTATATAACATTATTTGGACAATTGGGAAATCTGAATATGAACTGTATATTAGGGATGATCAGGCCTGCAGGGGAGAGCAGTTAGGGGCAAACAGGCTGGTAGGGGAGCAGTTAGGCATCAATCAGGCTGGCAGAGGAGTGGTTAGGGGGTGATCAGGCTGGCCGGTAAAAGCGGTTAGGGGCAATCAGGAAGGCAGGCAGGTGAGCAGTTGGGAGCCAGCAGTCCTGAATTGTGAGAGGGATCTCAGATTGCAGAAGGTGCAGGCTGGGCTGAGGGACACCTTCCCCCACCCCCATGCATGAATTTCATGCACTGAGGTCTCTAGTATTTTTATAAAACATAAGATCATACTTAGTGATACTTTTAAGCTTTTTCAAAATTTTTTCCCCCTTTGTTACCTTTATTTATAAAATCTCAAGGTAGTGAAAAAGTACTCATTTTTCCCCCCTCTTCAAAGCAATAGTTACCTTTGATCCTTTGTTACCTTTATTTATAAAATCTCAAGGTAGTGAAAAAGTACTCATTTTCCCCCCCTCTTCAAAGCAATAGTTACCTTTGATCCTTTCAAACAAGTATTCCTGATTCGGTGTAAGGTCTAGATACTGCACAATTGTATTCAAAGTTGGAATGAGAGGAGCTTTGACCAGAGCAGCTTGTTTCAAACTGGTAATATTAGCCTCTGTTAAAAATAAAAAACACCAAACACATTATTTTTAACTTGGATCTCTAAAAATTACTTAAAATGCTCTTCCTACA